ACCAAGTGAAGCTACAACTTTGCGGCATAAATTGCGGGGTCCTGAACCATGTCGCTGACCAACACAAAGACGGGGTTTTCGGTCAAGGACATCTTGGACCTGCCGGATACCAACGATGAGGAGGGCTCGGTGGCCGAGGGGCCGGAGGAGGAGAGCGAGGGGTCTGAGCCGGCCAAGAGGGCCGGGCCCCTGGGGCAGGGCGCCCTGGACGCGGTGCAGAGCCTGCCCCTGAAGAGCCCTTTCTACGACAGCAGCGACAACCCGTATACACGCTGGCTGGCCAGCACGGAGGGCCTCCAATACTCCCGTAAGTAGTGAAACTTGGCTGCTGCAGCCCTGACAGCCTCCATTCCTGCGGCTGTAGCCCGGACTGGACGCTGGGAGTTAAGGGGGGAAAGAAGCCAAAGTCCAGATACTTCACCCTGGGTTCCTAGATTTTTTTTTTTAACATTTGTTTGGGATGCAATCTTTTCTCCTGGTCAAGCCCCCTTAGTCTCTGCAAAAGACTTGGTCTCAGCTTTTTTTTTTTTTTTCCCAACATGAGAAATTAAGGAGGCAGAGAAGAAAAGAAATGCCTCCTAAGGGCTGGTTGCAGATGTCAACCGACACTGATAGCTTGGGCCCTAGACCCCAGACTCCAACCGCCGGGAGGGACTGGCCTGACACACTGGAACTAGCCAGCGAGCCTGGTCCAGGCTGCGGGTAGAGGGTGAGGGAGGCTTGGGGTGGCCTGGGTATAAGTAGCTCACCCTGCCCCCTGTGTGATCATAGAGGACGCTTTGTGCAGTGCAGGGGGTGTTGAGAAAGACCGAAAGAAAAAAAAAAAAAAAAAAAAAGAAAGCCCCCAAAACCTGCCTTAAAAGGCCGAGACGATCAATGCCGGGATTGTGGGGGATTTCTCTTAAAAATCTGCCCACGTCTCTACAGAGAGGAATCAGCTTAAGGGGGCCGGAGCCCTTAACCCGCAATGATCTCCCAAGCACCCCCATCAATTCGCACCCACACTGTGCGAATCCCTAGAACCGTGAGTCCTAAGCCCCCACTCCTACTGATTTTCCCCTTTACCCTGGAAGACCCCGACGGCTTTCTCAGGCTTGGCGCAGGGTAGGGATCATCGCAGAGGCAGCCGCGCTGGGCTGCAGAGAGCTGAGGGCCAGAGGCCCACGGAAGAACGAGGTGCTCTAGCTCTGGCCCAGGCGGCGCGCGGCCTCCCGGCGCCTGACGCGCTTCTCTCCCCTCCAGTGCACGGGCTGGCGGCGGGCGCTCCCCCTCAAGACTCAAGCTCCAAGTCCCCGGAGCCCTCGGCTGACGAGTCACCGGACAATGACAAGGAGACCCCAGGCGGCGGGGGGGACGCAGGCAAGAAGCGGAAGCGGCGGGTGCTCTTCTCCAAGGCGCAAACCTACGAGTTGGAGCGACGCTTCCGGCAGCAGCGGTACCTGTCGGCGCCAGAGCGCGAGCACCTGGCCAGTCTCATCCGCCTCACGCCTACGCAGGTAAAGATCTGGTTCCAGAACCACCGCTACAAGATGAAGCGCGCCCGGGCGGAGAAAGGTATGGAGGTGACACCCCTGCCCTCACCGCGTCGGGTGGCCGTGCCCGTCTTGGTCAGAGATGGCAAACCATGCCACGCGCTCAAAGCCCAGGACCTGGCAGCTGCCACCTTCCAGGCAGGCATCCCCTTTTCGGCTTACAGTGCTCAATCACTGCAACACATGCAGTACAACGCCCAGTACAGCTCGGCCAGCACCCCCCAGTACCCGACAGCACACCCCCTGGTCCAGGCCCAGCAGTGGACTTGGTGAGCACCGCCCCTCCGAGACTCGCGGCCCCAGGCCCAGGCCCCACCCCGGCGACTGCGGCGGCGGCGGCGAGGAGGACTCGGTCCATACGGTGGTTATTATTATTATTATAATTATTATTATAGAGTCGAGTTGACTCTGGGCTCCGTTGGGGAGGCGCCGGAAGGTTGCCTACGCCTCCTTGAAGTGGCAGAATCCATCCACCCGACTCTGTCCCCATCTCTCTCCTTTGAACCTTGGAGAGGGTTGAACTATAAGCCGTGTTTACAGAATGTTTGCGCAGCTTCGCTCCTTTGCCTCTCCCTGGGGGGTACCAGACCATCCCAGCGTAAAAGTCGACACTTGAAAATGAGAAAAAGAGCGAACCCCCACCCCGCTTTCGTGAATTTTGTAAAATATGTTTGTGTGAGTAGCGATATTGTCAGCCGTCTTCTAAAGCAAGTGGAGAACACTTTAAAAAATATAGAGAATTTTTCTTTTTTTATATAAGAAAATGCTACATATTTATGGCCATGTAAACGTCCTGACAACTGGTGGCAGATTTCGCTTTTCGTTGTAAATATCGGTGGTGATTGTTGCCAAAATGACCTTCAGGATGGGCCTGTGAACCCTGCAGGCCCAACTCCTTTCTTGGTGGTTTGTTTTGGTTTGGTTATGTTTGGGTTACCCCTGTTTTCTTTTTTTGCTTTTTAAAAACATTTTGTTCAGTGCAAACATTTTTCAAATATGAAAAAGAAAAAAAAATGTGTAGGCGACAAGCCGCCTGCCCCATTTTCCGGGTCCTGAGCCCGGGAACTTGGAGCTCAGCGGTTCCGAGCGGTTCCCCTAGAGCGCCGGGCGCTGAAAACTTTCGATTTTTTAAGTAATTTTAATAAAAATCCTGTGTTAAAAAACAAACAAACAAGCCCAGACTTCCCGTTTGTCTGACTCTGTGGCCCTGCACCGGGCCAGAGGCCTTGGGCAAGTAACCAGGTCCGGCGGCACCCAGCGCTCGTTTGCACCCGCTTTCCGTCTCCCCAGGGTAGGAGGCTGGGGTGCCGGGGCGCTGATGGAGCTCCCAGGACAGGCCTCATCCGGACTGCCGGACAGGGCTCTTAGGACCCAGGGCCGGAGTGGGAGTGCTCAGCCTCCAGCCTGCAAACGGTTGGCCCAGAGTCCGGGGTGCCTCTCTTGGGCCTCTTTCTCAGCTCCGTGCCTGTGTGAACTCCTGCATCCCGGCCTCCGGAGGAAAAGTGACTTTGAGAAACGCAAAGGCAAGGAGAGCAAGCCCCCCTCGCTTGCCCAAATCTACGAGTGGCTCCTTCAGCCTGAGGAGCTGTTGAAGCCACTACACTCGATGACTTTCACTTTGTTGCGTTTGATTTACTTCGTGCTAAGAAGGGAGGGGGCTCTGAGGTTGAGACTGGTCGGCTTTCTTTCTACTCCCCACCCCCTTTTCAAAATCTGTGGACGAGTGGAGGCGTCGCAGCCGGCTCTAAGGCCTGGACGCAGAAAGAGTTTTGTGGGGGGTTTTGTTTGTTTTTGTTTTGCCGGGGGTGGGGTGTCGATTCCGAGCGCGCAAGGCTTTGACTATTAGCAGGGACACTCTGGGTTCTGGGAGCAGGAGAGGGAGGGGTGGTTGCATCCTCCTCAAAGCTTTATGCCCCCGCCCCAGCCTGGGAGGGCGAGTCACTGGCGATTCCAGCAAACTGAGCTTTCTTCCTTCTTGCCGCCCCCGTCCTTTTTGGATTCCCAGCCTCTTTCTCCAAGACTGGATCCCTGGCTGGTCCCCTCCCAGCCCTGGGCAGTCCGCACGGTCTCCCCAGGCTAGTCCTTAGGCATGGAGTTGGGTGAATTATTCGAAAGTAAAGACTGGAGGTGGGGTGGGGCACTCTGGCCGCCAGGGCTAGAGTAGGGGCAGAGGAAAGTGGGCAAACAGCCCCTGGCTAGCCCCCGGGAGTTTGCAATCCGTCCTTCCCCAGAAGAGAACTGACTCCATCCCACCCTCGTTTCTGGACCCGATCTCCTTGGCGGATGCTGGCGCACACTTGGCCACGCGGGGGAGCGTCTCAGGGGGGCTAGGCGGACGCGGGAATGGGAGGCGCGGTGCACCTTTCTCCTCTATCTCGCGGATTTCCGAAATTACCCGCAGCTCTGTGGCTCAGAGCCCAGCGGGCGCTCTGAGATGCCTGGAGATTGAAAGTCAGCTTATTTGGAAATAGTATCTCTTGTTTTCTCCGGAGCTCCCACCGTAAAGACTGGGGAGGGGGAGGTGAGAAGGCCAGGCAAAGGGAGCGGTCCCAGCTGACTTTCTCCCTCCCTTCAGTTGATGATCAGATTTAATTCAATATCTAAAGCAAACATGATTATCCGTGTGACCAAATCTGCGCGTCAATAGCACTCAGCGCAACACGCCCAGGGACGTGATTACACTTTATTCTCGTGTTGCGCACCGGCCCCTGGATAATTGAGGGCGCGAGAGTCTTTCTAATATCCCTGGAAAGGTCCTGTCGCATCTCCAGGTTCATCCGCGGGGAAAGGAGCAGTTTCCCTAAATAGTGAAAAGTCTCCCTTTGTTCTCCTCACAAGCTTGGAAATGTTTGGGGTTTTGTCTTGCTATTAGTAAAGGCCAGAAATTTCCCTTCAAATTGTTTGTTGTGCAATGTTCAACCTGCCCTGGTAACAGCCACTCAACAATCTTCTAGCAACTTCCCCTAACCCGGGATCCTTGGGGGAGGGAAGGAAGTGGGTGTTCAGGGTCGGCTGAAGAGGGGTTGTCAAAAGGCCTCGGGCGCAGCCTGGAAGACTCAAGTTGGTTTGTTTGTACCAGGTCCTAGGCCTACCACGGGCCAAGAATAATCACAAGAACCTTCCAGGCCTGCAGGGAAGAAGGGAGAAGCAAAGAAGGTCCAAACTTTTGCAGATTTTCACCAAGTGTGGGTTGAGGACACATTTGGGTTGGTGGACAGGCCCCGAGACCTGTAGTCCGGGTGTGTTGCCGATTCTGCCAAGAGCCTGGAGGTGGGCCCGGCGCCCGCCTCTCTGTCCTCGGGACCCCGTGGAGTCAATAAAAGCTCCCGAGGAGCCCTGTGTGGCCCTAACCCCA